GCTGATCAAAGATTCGGCGAAGCCATTCTTCGTCTCAGGAGCCCCAAGGCTCCCAATCATTACGAAAGGGAGCCTCAGGGCTCCTGAGAATCCATCAGCAGAGGCCTTTTCATTTGGCCTCTGCTGATCAAAGATTCGGCGAAGCCATTCTTCGTCTCAGGAGCCCCAAGGCTCCCAATCATTACGAAAGGGAGCCTCAGGGCTCCTGAGAATCCATCAGTAGAGGCCTTTTCATTTGGCCTCTGCTGATCAAAGATTCGGCGAAGCCATTCTTCGTCTCAGGAGCCCCAAGGCTCCCAATCATTACGAAAGGGAGCCTCAGGGCTCCTGAGAAACCTCTTTGAGAAGGTTTTCTTTAAGAAAACCTTCTCAAAGATGATTGTCAGCATTCACTCAAAATCTACCAAGAGTTTCAAAGTTTCAAATCTATCTGAAATGAAGCTTTGAATCTCTTGTATATCTAATTGTAGAGGTACCTTTTCAAAATGTCTTCTATTGATTAAATTTAATCAGTAAAAGTCATTTTGAAAAGGTACATCTCTATAATTGCTATTGAGCATTCACTCTTGGAACCTTGGAGCTCTTGTGTAGTGCATGAAAACTCCAAGATTCTAGAATAAAACATATATCATAGACATAATTTCTTCAAATATAATTTAAGGTTATTTTTTAAAAAATTAGAACAGCGTAATTTAAGGTTATTGAAAAGTGACACTTGACAAATTTATCCCGCACTCTTCAAAAATAAGGAAATTTTGATAAATATCCTCATCGCTATTATCATAAAAGATTCAATATCCCTTTCGATATTTAATGACAAATTTGAAAAGGTGTTTGAAATTCTTTCGGATTTTGTTGAATTTAACCCAAAATTTATTATTAATTGTTTACAAGAAATTTTATTTAACTCTTCTTGTAAAGAAAACTTTGCCAATATTTTGAATGCATTTGAAAATTCCGAGCTTAGAATATATTTGGATGAATGCGAAGATGAAATCGATCCTGAAATTTTTGACTCTCTCAAAAATATGTATTCAATTTTAAATGAATCTAATTCTCATCAATAATAACATATGAATAAAAAATAAATGGATTTAATTTTTTTTATCAGTTTCAATAGATTACAGTTATTTTTATTTTCTACAATATCTCATTACCAAATCGTTTTAACTCTTTGTATATCAAAGAATAATAATAAGTGACCTGTAATAACCATACTCATAATGGATTAGACCTCAAATTATTTAAAATGTCAATTCAATATTATTAAATTACAATTTCTTTTATTCTAATAGATTTTAACTAGCCAATCATGATTACAAATATTGTAGCCTTCATTAACTCATAATATCGAAGAATATAACTTATATTCATGGACAATTTGTGATTAATTTCCAATAATATATAAAACCGACTCAAATTAATCATGTTGGCATTAGCGCGCATCGATGCTCAATCTACCTGTAGTATTATAAGCTTATATTCCTATTTTTCAGCATTAAAATTGTGAATTACGTAATTTTGTCATAGTTTTACGTAATTTTAATTTTTTTTGATAAGAAAAAAATGACTTTAAGAAAAAACGAGATCACTCATAATCTTTTTCTCAGAAAACTGCAGAGTATACAACAAATGTACTCAAACGTGCATTAAGCACA